AATGTGACTGTAGGCAATTGTGGAGACTGCCGGATGGTCTTTAGAAGGCTACTGTCTTCAGATCTGGTGCTGGAGCTCTGAAAGATGCACCTGTGTTTCCTTTTTGGCTCTTTGAGAATCTGAATATGCATACGTACCGTTTTCTCTTCCTCTTTTAAAAGTAGTGTGTTTTTACCTTTCTTTCCTCTGCATCTTCTCTCTTTTCCCCTCTTCTCATTCTGATCCCATCTTGATATTTTGCAACCAGAGGACTGAATGGTAAGTTTGATTGCCACAGAAGCACTCTATTTGTAAAAGAAGGAGGGGAGGCGAAGACACAGGATGGTGGTAGATAGCAGAATATAGAAGCCTAATATCATTTTTTTTAGTAGGATGAGTTACATTACAAGCTAGGATTCAGTTCCAGGGTGTGTGAATTGCCCTATAAGAAGAAATTCTTTTCATCTTGACCCGGTCCATTAGGACACAGAGCCCCAGATAGGGTGTCAAGAAGACGAGGTCCCAGCCCTAGCTCTGTCACTATATTAATTCTTGACAAGTCTCTTCATTGATGGAGGCATTTTGTTCAGTTCTCAAACAAGAGTTATGAGAGATTAAGGTCATCTGAAACTTGATAGACCTGTAGTTCGAAGATAGCTATGACTCAAAACTATCAATGTACTGTTGGTACAGATGTGAGACTATTACTGGTCTCCCCTGACAAAGAGTCTCTGCTTAGCCAAACTTTAATCAGGCTTCGAACCTTCTCCTGGGTCCATCTGTGTACTCCTAGGTCTAGTTTTAGCAAATAATCTCCCATTCTTCATACCTGATCACCCTTCATTTCTGATAAGGTTCCTCATCCTCCACTGCGTTGTAACCAAAAAGCAGGTCGGTTGCTCACCACATGCAGAATCCAAAAAACAAGAGTGAGGCTTGGTACAAAAATAGTGAATTTATTCTGCAGTGAGCTTGGGGAAGGCGCACAAAAATCCTTGACTTTAAATGTGCTGCTTCACCTCTGGAGACACTTTTACAAGGTAAGGGGGAAACTGGTGTCTTATCCACCAGACAGTTGAGTCGATACCTTCCTGGGCAGAAATAAGTTGGGAAAGGAGTCAAGCTGGCATGCTTTTGATATGCCCTTCCGGTGGACAAAAGTCTTGAGGCAATTCCCAGAGGGTGGAAGTTCCAGGCCACCTGCTGGAGGTGACAGTTCCCTGGCGGGTATGCTTTGGCCTGCAAATCCGCTGTCAGCTCTGGAGAAGAGATCTATCTGGGAGCACACAGTTAGAAGAACTTGCCCTGCAGGGAATGTCTGGTGAGGGGGAAGTGAAAGGTTATATTTGCATTCCTAAAGGGCTAGGTAGGAAACAGGGAAAGGAGAGAGAAGAGAAAATAATAAAAAATAATAATAACTCATTCTCTTTTTCCTAGGAAAAAAATGGGAGCACTCAGTTCAAATGTCCCTGGTGATGTATGTTCACCCTGGCCTATCTTCAGCAAGAGATCTTGAGGTCAGTTTAGCCAGAATGCCCCTTACCCCAATGTTCCTTTTAGTAATTTTCCATCCACTGACCCCCACCCTGTTCCTTGGCTATATATTTCCACTTGCCCATACTATGTTCAGAGTTGAGCCCAATCTTTCTCCCCAACAGCCAGACCCCTTTGAGGTGGTCTCCATACCTTTCACAGTGGTCTTTAATAAAGTCCTCCTTATCTTGCTTTAACACATATCACTGATTAATTTTTTTTCCCTTAACATCCCTTAGATTCTTACTCCAAGAAACCTCTCTATTAACGCTGAATGAGTTCATGGTCTTAGTTCTTAGACGTGCATAATGTTTAAAATGTGTAACATTTCATTGGTTTTTAAGAAGGGGTTTTAGACTTACAGTTGGCCACAACGCTTTGGATGTTCTGGGAGTTCACGTCAAGTCCAAGAATGAGGTTGCCCCAGGAAGACCTGATTCAGGGAGATTAGCAACCAGCCCCATTTTCACTTTTTCTTTTTTTTTCATTTTTGTACAAAATCCTTTCACTCCCACCCTCTGACCAGACTGGCTTTTTTACTTTCCCTAGAGCAGTGGATGTGGCTAGAGGCTTTACTTTGTAAGCATTTACATGGTCCTTACAATGAAAATCAAGTCTGGTCTTTGTGTCTGGACCCCTAAGACCCAGCTCAGTGCCTAGAAGGCAGCAAACCCCCAATATTTGTGTGTTGAATGCATGAGAGGTCAACAGTGGGGTCAAGTATGCATTCATGTCAATAATGAAGACCTGATTAGCAGATCAAATGAATACTTTAATCATCCTCAGAAAAAAAGAATAACAATCCTAGACTCATCACATTATAACATTAAATTTTTATGAGTAAAAAATAGGCGTTGTAGAAAACAGGAAAATACAAAAAAACTTAAAACATCCATAATTTCGCCATCTAGTGAACATTTCTGTGTTTATATTTTATGTATAATTTTTTTCAAAATAGAGATTTTCTTACATTTTTATTTAGCATTGTATTGTTAAATTATCAAATATTTTCAAGAAGGGTTTGTAGTGACTGTGTTATTATTCCATCAAAGTATATTTATTAGACCAAATGTACCTCCTATCCTGATTCTATACATGAAAAACACACTAAAAAAATGGTGTGAACTGCCCGGCATCCCTCCCATAGCCAGGAAGAGGATAAAGGTAGATTCCGAGCTCAGATGTTCTGAGAATCCAGAACTGCCCTCCTCGTGAGTGTGTCTCTAACTTTATAATGGCTCTTATGAATGGCTGATTTAAGTCACTCTTCCCTAATTTTATTCAGATGCTTTTATACACCCTACCTCCACTAAAATACAAGATTCTTGAGACCAGGGTCTTTTATTTCTCGGTGTTCTATTCCCTCCTCTTCCCACCACATATCCCTGTCCAGCATCTAACAGAACACCTAAAGCTCTCACACTGGGTGACCTTTAATCCTGTTTGGGAGGGTTTGAATTTCAAAAGCCCCATTAAAGCTCCCCATTTCCTTTGTAACAAACATTTTGCCCAAAGAGTACTCAGGGACTGAGGACAAAAAGCAAACACTTGCTTCTTTAGAAAGATGTTCCTCCATGTATACAGAGAATTGCAAGAAAAAGAGAAAGGGAGGGTAGGAAAGGAGCAAATCAAATCATCTTTTCTTCTGATTCCTGTCTGATTCCTGGCTCCAAGAGGACTGGTCAGGCTGCAGCAGCTCTTGGGGACATGTGGTCAGCTGAGCAGACAGTGGAGTATGTACGGGGGTGGGTGGGGAAGAGCGGTCCCCACAGAATTTTGAGCCGGAAGAGGACAATGAAGGCCACTGGGAGGTGGTTTTTATCTCTCAATTTGATGTACTCTGATTTATGAAGTGATAGCCAGGAGCCCAAACCATCAGTTGTTGGATGCGCATGGGAGACAGGGGGTGGGGGGCTGCCCCTACTTCTGTCTCTGGGACCTTCCCACCCAGTACTGTGGGCCTCCTTGTCTCTGAGCAGTAGCCTAGCCCTGCTATGTTATAAACTGAAATGTCTACCACCACCTTTCCTTGTCATTATCTTAAACAGTTCATAGAGATGAACGTCTACAATGTTAGTTAAGAATTTTGGTATTTTTGCTAAATATAAACAACTTTGGTTTATAATATTCACACAATCAACCTACACTGATGAAGAATACTTACAACGCACTCTTATATCAGAGGTGGAGTTGTTACATAGTAGTACAGGATAGAAAAATGAAGAGCCTTCAGTCCATTGAGAATTTCCCCCAAACTCTCTCTGGGACTCTGCCTAACACAGGCTCTGCATGGCGAAAGTCTCATTCCATTCAGACGTGACCTGGAACATATCATTTCCCTTTGTGCTGCTTTATCAGGCAGAGGCAGCCACAAAGAACTGGGCAAATATTAGTGCTAAACTGTGAAGTAACTAATTTTTCCCTTACCTTGGCTGCTAAGCAAATGAACAAACCTTATTCCTGTGTTTAAAAAATATATAAAAGTTTGCCTTAAAATAAGTACCGACCCCCCACCCCCCGCCCAAAGGCACTCAACCAGTGCATGGAAAAGTGTGTGGAATGTGCTCACATCCTGCGTAAGTTAGAGGGAATTTTCTCTGAGTATTCTGTCCACAGGATGTAGCCTTGCCTGGCCTTGGGTTGATTAACTAAAAGGCCAGATGGAGACACAGTCCCCAAATAGCACTGCATAACCTTCAACAATTCTTTAATGTTCTTGACTGTTAGGCATGGCAAAATAAGAACTTACCTAGGGATCAAAAACAGCTGAAGAGCAATTATAAAGGAGAAAAATCGTCATACTGGAGGCATAGAGACAGCTCCTAGGCAAACTGCTTTCGAGAAACCCATCCTATTCTGGGTTTGAACAGCTCACCCAATATTTGCTTCTGCCATAGTATCTTAGTCATAAGACAGGACCCCTTTGCTGGTCCTCAGTTTCCCTCCCTGTGAAGAAGATGGGTGTGCCCCATTTCTTCTTTTGTCCCATTTATTTTTGGAAGCTCTTGGGGAACATGTATGCAGAGATTTCTCAGTGGGCTACCATGTCTCCCATCAGGACAGGAGAATTATTGATACCAGTGGCTTTTATTTGCCAATGTGGGACCTTCAGAGACTTACAGATGAGACAGGCAAACAACACAAATGGAGAGAAACCCAAATGGAAACATGCGTTATATATGAAAACAAGTATTCAGACATGTGCACCTGGCCCTCTCCCACTCCCCATGCACATACACAGAATCACACAACTCTACAAATACACACGCAGACAGTTGTGAACAGACAAAAATATATGCAGGGCTATTTACACAGCCACACCTGAAATCAAACAGACCCACACCCACTCTTGAATATTCTCCATCACAATTTCCCACTATAAAGTTAGAGATCAAGCCAACCTTGACCTCTTTCCTACTCGCAGCCCTCTTCTTCACCAAGGTTATGAGTGCAGTCATGGGATCCAAGGATCCAAACACACACGTTTGTTGAGATGTTTATTAAAATTCCAGGTGTGGGGAACATTCAGAATAAGAGAGTCCCTCCCGTGGGGGGTTCAGGTCTAGCAGGGGAAGGAGATGCACACAAAGCTACAAAGTCACATGGGAAGTGCTCTAACTGAAGGGAGCACAGGAAGTTGGACCTATTTCTTTGATCCTGAGATCTGGACAGAAGACAATCCTCCTCCTTGCTTCAGAGGATACAATGGAAACCCAGAGGAATCTGCTCGGCACCCAGAGGAATCTGCTCGGCACCAGTAAGCTGGAAGCCACGCTGCCTTCCACCCAATTCTCTGTGGGGACACTGTGCTGGTTTCAGTCCCTGGGTCCTGCCCTTAGTTCAGCCTGTCTTGCTTGCCCCTCAGGTGTGTCTGGTGGTAGAAGTTGAGGAAGAGAATGAGGAAGCTGAGGGCTTACAGGAGCACAGACGTGTTGAACCATCAGGGAAGGGGCACTTGGTGGGGAGACTGTAGGAAGAGGGGGCAGCAGTGGCCACAAACTGACCCTGGGCAAAAGAAAGCGTGAGAAGAAAGAGAGGGGAGAGCAGTCAGTTCTTTCCACCCCATGATCCCAAGAATCTTCTTGACTCTTCTCCTGGTCCTGGTTGCCCCAATTCCCCCATCCAGCCATGTCATGGTGGTCCTGATGATAAGCTCAGTATATCCAGAGCCCCATATGGGACACTTTAGGCTGTCATCACCATCTGGGGGGCAGTGGTGTTCCCAAAACTGCAAGACATCAGGCACCTGGAGGGTGAAATCAGTGATCACAGACTCACAGGATATTAATGTTTAGAGGTCATCTGGCCGAGGCCCTCATTTTATAGATAATGACATTGAGACCTGAGCATGGAAGCCACTTGCTCAAAGTCCCACACTGTGCCAGTGAGTTAGGGTTGGTTCCAGGATCATAAGATGGCTACTGAGGTCCTTGCAAGTTGGGAAGCTAAGGAAGATCTAAGGATGAGAGAGCTTGTTTATGGGCAGATGCCAAGTCACTGGTATAGACTGACAAGTCAAGAATAGAACCAAGGGTTCAGCCAAGGCCCCTGGAGCCAATGGGATCTCCTTACCAACTGTAGGGTGGTAAGATATCGTTTCCACCAGAAGTAGGGCCACATAGGAGGCCACAACCTGGCCAGTCCATAATACAGATACATGAAGACATGGATCAAAGAATTAAGCATCCCTATGAAGAAGGCTGCAGAGTGGGGTGTGGGACGATAAAGGAAAATAAGTGGAGCTGGGCTTAGCTGTGGTGTGGGAGTTCTCTTTGATGTTTCAATCCTCCAAGCTGCAGAGAGCACCTCTGCAATCTCTACAGAAAATCCCTGGAAAGACCTTATCCTGCAGAGGTCCGGCATGAGCCATCTGAAGTCGTGATGATGGAGGGCTGGAGTTATTGAGATGCTAAATGAGAATATTTCTACTCCCTTTGTGTTCTGTGGGCTGATGGCTATGATGAGCATCTCCCAGCAGCCACCTCCCCATCCCAGAGATGGGTAGCCCAGGAGCTCTAAGGAGCCACACGGACAAATGGGAGCAGAGGTCTGGTCTCATGGCCTCAGGGAAGGGAAAAGTTAGAGACCAGCCATAATATTCCAGGGATGCAGGTCTCCTGAGCTGGGACTCAGCCCAGCAGACCTGCCTTACAAGGGCCTGGGGCAGGGCTGTCCACAGCACGCATCACTTACCTGGCTGCCTGCTACGTATTTGACTCCAGCCCACCCATCAGAGGGCATGGTGCCATGATGGTAGAGATGCAGGAAGGTGGGCTGCTCTGGCTTCATTCATAAAATAAAGAACACCTGGAGAGGAGGAAGAGATGGAGTCATCTCTGGAGGTCTCCTTCCTCTAGACTTCTCTCGAGGCCTCAACTACCCCTTAGAGTGGGACGGGCTAATTCTACCTGTTTTACTGAAGAAGCGACTAAAACTAAACGGAAATAACAATAGTCAAACACCAATCTATGACCTACCGTGTGCTTTAATTGAGGCCTTTGAAATTCAAACCCTTGCGGGATCTAAGGTCTCATAGTGTGAAAGCTTCAGGTGGTCTTCTAGATGCTGGGCAGGGATGTGTGGTGGGAAGAGGAGGGAAGAGAACACTATTCTACTTTGTGTGTATAAAATAATCACTGAAATACCACATAATTGTATGCAGTTTATACTTCTACTACTTCCATTTTTCAGGATAAAAAAGGCACAGAAAGGCTAAGTAACTTGCCCAAAGGCACACAACTTATAGGTGGCCAAACTGGGATCAGAACAGTCTGGCTTCAGAGACTGGGTTCTTTCCAATGTCCGATCCTTGCCCCTCCAGGGCACCGGGGTAAGAATTCAGGTGTTGAACCGTCAGCCCAAGATCCAGACACCCACACCACACATTCCCACATGATCTCTGCTCAGCTCATTTTGGCAAGAGACTGAGAAGAAAGAGCCCCCTCTTTTCATCACCAACCACACCAACGTTATGCTCTTGCCCCACCCTGCTTAATCCCACAAGCGCCCTGGCCTCACCAGCAAGGTTTCTTCTCATTAACATGGAAGGATGGCTTTTGTTGTCTGATGACCCTTGCTATATCATGTCAGTTTTAAAGTTTGTTTAATTTTCCATTTTAATTGTACCTGGAACCTGGCTACTCATGGAGCAAATGCTCCTACTTCTGCAGATAGAAAGCAGGGACCATGGGAGCCGGTGGAGGGGGACGCTACCTCAGTGGCTGGGTGTCCTCCCTCAGCCAGGTACCGGACCAAGGCTTTGCTCTGAAATTAGTCTCTGGCATGACTGCCTGGGCAAACCCAGAGAGCATTCTTGCTGGGAGAGTCAGACACCGCCCCAGATTTGGCTGACGGATATACAGGAGCCCATGAGTCCGGGATCTTACCTGTCAAGCAATTCAACGGCCTTTGGAAAGAGGCACCAGCAGCACACGCTCGCCATCTGCTGGGCAGGACGGGGAAGTTCCATCAGATTGCAGTCCGGCTGGTGCCACAGCTTGTCCCACCTGGGCTGAGTTCAGCCCCAAATCCTCACTGTTCTATGCACCGCTGATTCCACAGTGCCTACCTGTCTGCAGAAAGATGCCTGTTCACACAGGCAAAAAGGGGAGAAGCTACTGGCGTGACCACAGAAGGACTCCCCAAATGTGCCCCAGCCCAGAACCCTGGAATCTAATGAGCATGTGGGCATCTTGCTTGTTGAAAGAAGATTCTTCATCAGTGTGCCTGGGGTGGAGTACAGCTTCTGCATTTCCAACCAGCTCCCAGATGATGCTGATGCTGCCCGCCCAAGGATCATACTTTGAGTCACAGGACTTGAGCCCATCACCAACATCCAGTGACTCAACATCCATATCACCTGGTGACAAGCCTCAGCTACCTGGTGACAGGCTTCAGCTGGAGTCTTCTGTTACAGGAAGCCTTTTGTTCTGCTTCTAGTTGAAACAGAGAACAGCTAACAGTGATGAAATCACTACCACTTAGCTACCACTCAGTGTGTGCTGGCCCCTGTGCTAAACATTTCCATATATTGTCTATCATATATTATCTGATTCCATCTTCTTTCAATCATTTCCCTTTATAAAATAGGTGTTATTATCTCAATTTTATAAATAAGAAAATGGAGTCCTAGAAGAGTTAGGTGTGCCACCGAGTCGCACAGCAAGTAACTGGCAGAGCTGAGATTCAAACCGAGGTCCGAGGTTATCTGACTCTAAAGCCTGCACATAACCAGCCAGTCCCCTGTCTCTCATCAAAAGGCTCAGGTGATACCTCCTTGACCTCTGATTGTTATGAAGTTGTCCCTCCTAACCCTCTCCAGGCTTGCTTCCTGCTCCCTGCCATACCCTCATTCCATGCTCACTCCATCTGTAGTCCACTGGCTGGCAGAAGTAGCTGCAGTTAGCCAGCAGCGGGGTGGCCATGACCTGAGAGGAAGAAGAAAGAGGAAAAGATTGAGTCACAAAACCTGTTCCCACCACGGTGGACCCCGACTGGCTCAGGCTCCCGAACACCACCACCCCAATGCAACCTCTGCTGACATTTGGTGAACAACTGCTAATAAACTCCATGGGGTGGTGAGATCAGAGGCGCAACTTGTATGCATCTTGCTGGTCTCTAATTTTTTAATGTGGGCAAATATAGGCTACAGCGCCACCCTGGGTGCCTACTATGCATGAAAGCCTGAGATAGGTGCTGAAGACACCAAGGCCGTCCACACGTCCGCCCTGCCCCAAGGAACTCGAAGCCTGGCTGAGGATGTGGAAAAAAATTCTAACCTTACAGGTTGATGCTAGAGGAAGAGTAGGAAATAGCAGGTGTTCCAGGAGTGGGATCAAAGAATGACGAGGCTTTGGGCAGACAGAGGAGAGGGAGTGGGAGTTTCATGCCGGGACAAGCGTATGTGGTACCTGGACCTGGGGGCCTAACTAGGAGATTAGTGAGACTGGTGTGGAGGCTCTGACCAAAGGAGAAGCAGGCCACAGAATTGGAGAGACCGAATTGTGAATAAAGGGTCTTGAAGGCTGTTGTAAGAAGCCTGAATTTTATCATGTATTGATTGATTTGACAATAACGTGTTGAATGGTACTAAGCACTTCTCCATGCTGGGCGCTGTTCTGAGCACTGGATCACGTTGATAAAACCAAACAGATAGAAATCTCTACCTTGGGGGACTTGGCATTCTGGTCACATATGCAAAAGGACCTACTGAGGTTTCTGAGCAGGAAGCTGACCGTGAGCGTGGCAGAGTTTTCAAGGGATTGGGGTGGCAGGAGAGTGCCTAGTTGCCATAATTAAATGACAAATTCTCTAGGGCATGCCTCACGTCTCATGAGTTCTTGGTAGCCCTCATGTGCTACCAGATAGTATGCTGAGTCTGTCTTTAAACAGATAAATAAGACAGGGGTCCTGCCTTTGAAGCACTTGCTGTTTGGGAGGGAAGAAAGGCACATATGAAAGTGGTGACACAGCTGGAGAAAGACCACAGTCGGTGAGGGGTCAGTATATCCTTAATAGGCTCCTAACGTGGGGGAGGTGTCTGCAGGGTTTGCCAATTCCTACGGTGTAAATACTGCCACCACGGTGGAGGGACTTCAAGTTATTTCACACAAAGTCACTGAACATGAAGTTGCGGGGAGACCCACACCTGGTGCTCACCCGTGGGTGGAGTGGCTCCAGCCCATCTCAGAGAGCCCAGGACTGTACCAAGAGCTGGGAATGGCCAAGCAAGGAAACAAATAACCTGGCCTTAGAGGAGTCAGGGAAGGCTTCCTGTGAGGCGACAGCTGACCTGAATCTAAAGGATGTGCAGGAATTTGTCAGGAGACTGGGGGACAAGAGCACTTCTGGCAGAAAATCAGTGATGTGCCCAGGCCTGAGGACTTGCTGAGCGTGGCTGTGTGGGCTGGCGAGCAGGCCTGTGCTGGATGAGGGTGGTGTGCAGGGCTGCTGAGAGCCTGTAGAGGGAGATGAGGTGGAGAGGAAGACAGGGCCAGAGAGGACTCCAGAGGGCTTCCTGTGCCCAGGAAGGGGTTAAGCCTCAGCCTCTGCGGGATGGGAAGCATCAGAGGCTCCCAGCAGGCCATGGCACCACCCTCCCTGTGCTTGTAGTAGCTGAGAAAGGAAGAGACGAAGAGGAGTTGGAAGAGGTGTGGCTGTCCGGACCTGCTTCTTCCGTCTCCTCCCCGTTACCTCACCAACAGGTGGAAGAGTTGGAGGAGGAGGCTGCAAGTGGTGCAGTCAGGGTGCCTGGTTTGCACTCTGCCTCTGTGCCTTGCCACCTGCTAAGCTACTTAACCCCTCTGCGTCTTGAACAGTGCTATCATGAGAATTAGATGAGCCGATCCTCGTAAAGTGCCTGCACCAATGCCTTGCCTGTAATCAGCATGGGAACACATCTGTGATGATCATTACCACCTCTGAAAAGCTTTTCCTGACATCCTAACCCCTGGCCCAGATACTGGGTTGCTGCCCCACCCTCCCTGCCCCTGGTGCATGATGCATCCTCTCTGTTGCCCACCCAACACACACTGCATTGCAACCGCCTGTGCCCACACCTGTCTCCACTCTAGACTGTGAGCCTCTGGAGGGCAGGGAGACCTTATCCAACAGGGATTCTGCAGGCCACAGCACAGCCTGGCATGAAGCATATATTGAATATACACCTGCTGAATGACTGTTTGCAAGGTCTCGAAGGAATACCAGATTTGGGGATCAGAAAACCAGGCAGAGATGAACACAGCCCAGGTAGAAACAGGAGATGGGGGATCCACATGAGGTGGGAGGGATAAGGAATTCCACTCTAGCTTGCCACTGACCTGTACTCTCTCATGTAAGGAAATGAAGGGTGGAAGTTTGTAACAAGGATTGAGCAGCCAAAGAAGGCACAGAATCCCAGCTCCTGCGTGTGACCCCATCAAGGCGGCTTTTCAATTTTCTATGTAGGAATATCATGGTTCTATTTATCCCTTGGTCACCCCTCCAAAAAAGATCCTAGAACTCTCCAGGAATCCCCGCCCACCAGTCTTACCTCCCAGAGGCACCCTAGGAGAACCACCAGGCCCAGGTTGTAGGCAGCGAGTGCTGTGCCAGCCCCAGAGGCTCCTGTTGGAACATGAAGCAAGGCCTGGCGCCACCAGGAGAAGATAGAAGACATGGAGGAGGGTGGCAGGGAGTGGCAATGCACCAGGAGCCAGGAATCCATCCTCAAGCCTGGATAAGCAGAGGAGAAGTGGCCGCCGGGCCAGCCACACTGCCCATTCACCCCCAGTCCCTCCCCACAGGAACTCCCAAGGCCTTGTTCATCCAGCCCTTGTTCCCAGAAAGTCTGACACAGAGGCTGGCTGAGGAAACAAATGAACGCTCCCACTGGATGGCATTATCCTCCCCCTCTGCTTTCTAAGGCCCAGGTGTATTT